AGAATTCCACTCTGATATTTCTCAAAATACAAAGCTTAAAATCAAGCATTTACCTCGCTTCACAAATCTTATTCCTGTGTCTTACTAGTTACATTAATGTGTCATTATCTTCCGACATATTCATTTGAAAGGAATTTTTACAATCATAAAGATCAGTCTTATGAATAATATAGCATTGTTGTACCGGAAAATGGGACAACAATAACAATTTTATTTGCTTTTATTATACAATTACTGCTTCATTCAATCAAATTTAAAAAAAAATCTTTAACATACATTTAAATTTACAAACAAAACAAAATGTTAGTGCTTCCAAACAGATAACTCTAAATATAGAGCGAATTAAAAAATTATACAAGATATACTATTTGCACTCTTAAGTGAGATAACAAATTCATCAAGAATAGAGAAAAATAAAACATTTAGAAAGTGTAATAAGAGTTTTACAAAGAACAGATATAAGCACACAAGAAAACGACAGAAATTTAAAAACCACTACACTATGTTAAAGCATAACACTAAAAATACAGGATAACAACTTTTTTCCTTTCGTGTACTATTTTCTTCTTTTCTCATTTTCTTTTTTGCAGCCATCCTTCAAATTTCTCTAAAGATTCGTGTTTATTTTGTCACACTAAATATTTCATTGCTTCCGTTCTATAATTATTCTGAAATCAAACTTTTTTATCGAGTCATGCAATCGACCCATTATTTATGCCAAACAAAAAACTTATTACTATGTTGGCAGAAGAGCTGCAACTTCCGCTCCTTTGTAGAGTAGAGCGTTAAAATATCCATCGCGATGGACATTTGTCCAGCAGCAAAGGTAAACGGTTTTCTCTCACTGCACGTGAGACCTCTGAAAGCATTTCTAAACATCTTATTACAATAAAAGTTATTTTGCATGAAAAGTAGGTTCTTGACTTCTTGAAGAAGGCGAAACTCGAAACTTACCAGTTTATCTATGTTTTCGAGCAGCGTGAATGTGCCATTTCTTTGTGCCACTGGCTTCCTCATCCGGGTATAGACTAAAATAAAAAAGTCTAAAAAGTTAATATAATTAAAGGTCATTCATCAAACTCAACTATTAAATTAATAAAGTATAAAAAACATACAGACTTAAGCAAAGTTATCGGCAATCCGTACAAATTTGTACGGACTTATCAAAACATCGACAGAACAGAACTGCTTGCAGAATTTTCCTCGACAACCACTTCCAACTGAGGAACCAGAGATGGCTTGAACATCTCCTGATGTTCTTAAATGCCTAAGACAGTCTAACCAGAGACTGTCTGTGATCTCCTGAAAGTCGCGATCTTATATATTGAGAATTTTGCGAACTTTACACTCTTTAAAGACAAGAAGTTTGAAATTTACAAGACTGTATCGAGGGAGCCTAAAATCATTTATAATTCGGCGTCAGTTACAACCTACCTATTATTTCCTCACGATGAGAGCAGGTTGTCGCGATCTCCTCAACCATGTTTTGCACCATCATTTCTTGATTGTCGACCAGCACAGAAGCTGACTCTTGCTCCGATAACTTGCTCTTCAAGAGCAATCCATTTCTGCTGCTGGTCAATTATGTTAATCCTCAACCTTCTTTGTCTTCGCTCCTTCAATATTTTTTCCTCTTCACGAGCTGAAGACTGCGCTGCAGCACCTTTAACAGTAGCTCTGCTTGACGTTTTTCGTACCATCCAGTCTGAAAGTAGAAAAAAACAACTGTAACGTCAAGTAAAATGAAACGTAGCAACTCTTATTAGCATTTCAGTCTCAAAGATTAACTCACTATATATATGCGCTTCGCCGTTTCCTAAGATACTGTTTTGCTGGAGTCGTGGTCTCCGCTGTGGACTTCTCATTCAGTTTACCTGAAAAATAACTAATTTTAACGCTGCTACATACAAAAAACAACAACCGATCTTCACGTCTCGATAAGTATGTAATAGTTCACTTTATTCATAACAACTGAGCAATTATATTATTTTAGCCCCTTCAATTCACATCATCACAATTTTTAAATTCATTCAGCAAACTTGCGGACACGAGAAATTGGTTTCGAAGCTGAAAACTCTTTAGAAAATGGAGAATTCCATAGAATGGCAATGCTTAATGTCGAAATAATTTTGCAGTGAGTAGAAAATTCAAAACTGATAAGACACACTTTTAGCATCTAGTCTAAGTTTGTTGGTTAGTTACCCGAGAATGATATAAAACTGTGAACAAAATATTTGTAATAGTACAGTTAACATTCTGTTTACAGCTAATAATTGTAAATACCGACCACAGTACCCAATCAATCACAAATGGTAACTCACTCCTTCCATTCTTCCTTAAAAACAAAAAGGTAAGGTTTGTAACCGCAAGGAAATCAACAG